AAAAAAAAAAAAAAAAAAAAAAAAAAAAAATTTTTTTTTTTTTTTTTTTTTTTTTTTTTTTTTTTAATTACATTATGTAGATTAAAATAAAATTTTTCTAATATAATTAACTATAAATTTAATCAAAATATATGCAATCATATAAATATGTAACTAATTTTTTTTAACAGCCAAGCAGTACTTGTAAATCATACTTTGTATTTATCTGGAATTCTTGGTGTTGATGTTAAAACTGAGAAACTTGCTATTGGCGGTGCTGTTGCAGAAGCTCGCCAAGCTCTTATAAATATGGGACATATTCTAAAAGAAGCTGGATCTGATTATGATAAAGGTCATACTTATTAGAAGCTACATACAAATTTCATTTAATTTTAAAATTTCTGTTTTTTAATGACAAACCAGTTATGAAGCTTTGCTCTATAATGTTATAAATATTATTGACATAAATTATATTTCATTATAATTATATTTTATATTTATTTGCATTTATTAAAACAACAATTTTTTTACAAGATATTAATAATTTTACTGGTGTAAACGAAGTTTACAAAGAATGTAAGACTTAATTTTATATTTTAATTTACACGTATAATTTTTCTTGTACATGTGTACACACTTTTTCAATTTAGTTTTCAAGGAAAACTATCCAGCTCGATCTACATTTCAAGTTGGAAAGCTACCAATGGTATGAAATACTTTGTCATATATTTAAAAATCTAACTGCTATCATTAAATGTAAAACTTTATTGTAGGGAGCACAATTTGAAATTGAAGCTATTGCTGTTGCCGGTGAATTAGAAACAATTTAAATATTACAAGCTATATTAATTATATTTCATTTATTAAAAAAATTAATTTACCTTTAAACATAATGTTATTAGAATTATATTAACAAAGAATTAATTATTTCATCATGAAAATTTTTACTTATAAAATAAAATAAAATAAAAATATCTTGTACTTCTATACCTAAACATACAAAACTTTGTTCTGTTAGTAGAAAAAAATAGTAATCAGAATTATCTTTCTTATATAATAACATATATAATAATTATGCAATAATTGAATAAATACAATAATTAATTTTAAAAATACAATAAAATACTTAACATAAACTTAACAATAAAATTAGTAAAAATTTTAAAATGCATATTTTCAACATTATTTTCATTGCATTAAATAATATTTTCTTCTTACTGATGCTAAATGTAAAAGCAAAATAAGCGATACTTCTTGTGTAATACACTATTTAGACACATAAAACAATCTATTTTATTTTATTTTTATTTACATTAAAAAAAGAAAACATTTCTTATTTTCATTATAAATTATAACATGTCATAAAAATTAAATTGCAGGATCAATGGAAATTTTATCTCGTAAAAAACAAAAGGAAGAATTATAAATAATATAAGAATATTATATTAAAATACTTATGTTGAATATTTCATTTTAATAAATAGAATAAAACTTAAAGCTGAACCTGAAGAATGACAGTTAAATGTAATTGAATAAATATAGACAGTAATATTATGAACACAAATAAATATCAACAAATATACTATACGGTGTGTTGAGACATTATAGAAAATATTCATTTTCAATTATACAATGAGGATATTTGAATATTCGAACATTTCTCCATTCACTAAATAATAAAATTAAATTCCTAGAATCGGACATCATTAATTTCTTTTATATATTACGTGCTCTTTATTTGTTCAGATTAGTACGTTACATGTTAATTTAGCTTAAGATACATACGATATATTAATAATTGTTACATATAATATGACTAAAATAGTAACTTAATTTTATGAGTAAAAGTATTGAATTTAATTGTTATGCAATTCATTTCATAATTTAATAAAAATATAATATAAATTAAAAGTAAAACAAAATTACTAAAAAGTAAAATTAATATAATCATAATCTCTTGAACATATAAAAATTGTTTTATGTTATAAGTACAAAGTTGTAAACAACTTTATTCAAATTTTCAAAAACATTTCAAACTTTTTCACTAAAATTTTATTCAGAAAAAATAAGTATATTATAGCTATGCATTTAATTTATCATTTTCTTACTACTTTTATAATATTTTAATAATTTGTTTAACTTAAGCATTTTAAATTGAATATTTATTTTGCAATTTATTTATTTATAGTTGCAAAGAAAAATTACATAGGTATTTTAATGAATTTTAAAGGCGTATTCATGTAACGTAGTTTCTATGAATGCTGCAACTATTATACGCGCCTATCATAATTTAATAAATTAACTGTAGAACTACCTTTAATTTATATAGTTCATGCTATATCACTACCTATCTCAATAATATAATCGTTTTCAATCTCTTTTACACGCGGTTTGCCACGTGTGTACGTCGTTCGTAGATTTTTTAAAAATATCGAACTTCATCTATATTTAATTGTTACTGTTTCCATACTAATTAACAGAATGCCTCCTAAATTTGATCCCAATGAAATTAAAAAAGGTATATTTTTAATTTTTGTGTGTGTTTAAACAAAAAATGCCTTAACACACATATTTGTTTCAATAGTTTATCTACGATGCGTTGGAGGTGAAGTAGGAGCAACTTCATCTTTGGCTCCAAAAATTGGTCCTCTTGGTTTGGTATGTTTATATTTTATAAATACATATAATTCAAAAATATTTTTAATATTATTATCTTTTAACCCCCAAAAGAGAATAAAATTCTATTTTATAATTTAAAATGTGTATTTTTTTTTAATATTTAATACTTTTTGTATATGCAAAATACTTGCTTAGTGTTTAAGTAATGTTTTATAATGCTTATAGTCTCCAAAAAAAGTTGGTGATGATATTGCCAAAGCTACCAGTGATTGGAAAGGTTTGAAGATTACTGTACAATTGACAATTCAGAATAGACAAGCTACCATTTCAGTAGTTCCATCTGCTGCATCTTTAATTATCAAAGCACTAAAAGAACCTCCAAGGGATCGTAAAAGGCAGAAAAATATTAAGCATAACGGAAATCTGTCATTTGATGACATTGTTGCGATCGCTCGAGCAATGAGACCAAGATCTATGTCAAAGTATCTTAGTGGCACTGTTAAAGAAATATTAGGAACTTGTCAATCAGTTGGATGCACAGTTGAAGGTCGACCACCACGAGATCTCATCGAAGAGATTAATGGTGGAAAGCTCCAAGTCCGAGATGAATAATGTGGTAAGTTCAGAGCTCTTTGCTAATATTTTCAGCACAATATTTCATCCCACCACATAATACTTAAATTTATTATACTATTATAATATGAAATAATTGGCTGGATATAAGGATGGATGGACGTATGAATGTATGTATGTATGTATGTATGTATGTTTTAATTATAAGAATTTTCATTTTTATTGTTACAGATTTATCATAAGGGGTAAAAAATAAAACATTTTTAACATCAAAGTGTCATATTTTTATACATGTATATATATTTTTCCTCCTTTAAAGAAATAAGTAGCTTAGAAATACTTAAATGTGTCGTATACCTTATATTCCCAATGAAAGATTTTCTCTTAACTACATTTACACTAATTACCATTATATTTGTTATTTAAATGATTAATTTATTTTGGATGTACTAATTATATCATAAAATCATAGTAGTTTCTTTATTAGTATATTATAAATGAGTTTTAAAGCATACCATATAATAAAAGGAATATTTATTTTCATCTACATAAAATCTTAATATACTTTTGTAGTTATTTTTGTAATGTTTGATTATATCCTTTTTTATGATCAGCTTTTGTAACTTTTTTCTGTATAAATTACAGATATATGAAAATGTAAGAAAGTTTTTAAATCATTAAATACTTTATATATTCAGTGCATTTACTAATTAACTTACTATCTATACATATCGAGTCACAATTATTTTTAAACGTATTATCTAGTAATGTGGTTACTTGATTGTAAGACATATTAAAAAAGATGCACTTATAATTAACAAAATTTGGATTTGATATTATGGACAGTTTTCTTTAAATAAACAAAACTCTTCTACCAACCTTATCAAAATAATTATAATTTAAATACATATATTTTGAATTAGGACAATAGATGTATTTATTATCAATAAATTTTTGTAAAATATTAGAGAAACAAATTACTTCTCATGAATTATTTATACATATTTCAATAAAACTAATTAGATGGAAACAATAATAGAAAAGATTTTCATATAAAAAAATTTGTATCTCTTATAGCAAAATTACTAATTTATTCTCCTAAAACATGTCCTCGTCCCCAATTATGACCACCAAATATATTTCTAGTTTGTTGTGCCTGTGTCCTTTGTACAGGTGCAGCTCCAAACCTTCTAATATTACCTCTTTGAGACGGGAAATAAGTTTCAAGAATTTTTGGAGTATTCAGTAACTCAGGCCCACCAAGTTCTTGAGGATATTTAAATTTAAAAAACACATAAAGATGTCCTACTAGGATGCCAAAAAGTTCCATTGTACCGCCACCAGATACAATGAGATTAAATGCAAACAATACCCATGGTAAATATATTGCTTTAAATTGTGAACCTGTTAATTTATACAATTAATATATTAAATTAGTAATCAAAAATATTACAAATTAATAACTTATAAAAAAGGTACATACCAAACAAGAAATTAACAAGAGCATCTTTATTCAATTGACACCAAACATATAATATGCTAAGTACCATAGGATCCATAAGATAATGGAATTCTCCAATAAGACCTATGATAACGCAGCATATCCAGTTAAATAAGAGTAGGAAACAATAATCTGCTGGTCGTCCATCATATTCTCCACGTTCTAACCTCAGCGAATAATTATATAAGAAATAACAATTAATCAAGAAATGAAAAGCACTTGGGAAGATAGGATAATAAAAAACACTGGTTGCTGCTCTCCAAATTTCGAAATTGTTTATGAAACGATCATTTTTAAGTATTAATAATCTTGGGTTTATTATGTCAAATCTTCCGAGTAATGAACAAACTACTGTACATAATAGCCAATATCTTGTAAAAATTGGTAAAGAATAAAACCAATCTCTCAAATCTGACATTTTTGTAACTTTTACTTTAACACCACAACTAATATAATACTAAGTATGATTACTAAAGTATGATCCAATGTGACGATGTATGACGTGTGATTATTTAGTGACTAAACAGTTACACTATATAGAGTAGGTTAGAATATGTAACAACATACACAATTTTATAAAAAACACGTCTGAATTAATTTTCTATAATTCTTTTTTTAATAATATCTAAGTAAAAAAGAAGATAAGAAATATAAAAGAAGAACAAATTAAAAAATAGTATGAGAAAAGTTTTATTGAAGTTTTGATATTTTTACCATGATATGTAATAAATATGAAATATATTTATTTTTATTAAGTTATGAAATAAAAATAAACTCACATTCTTAAAACTTATATTTATTAAATTTTTATTAAAAAATATTCATATAATCTCTGTTCTTTTTTAAATTAAATTAAAATACATTAAATTTGATTCATGGGTTCATTAATAATATATAGCATAAATATGTATATACGAAAATAATTTATACAAAATTGTTTTATTGATATAACATTATTTCTGAAATGGTGGTCAATAATAAAGTTGACAATGATTATAAGTTATACATATACTCAAATGGTTCATAGCAGCAGTCCATGAAAATTTTATACTATTTATATGAAAGATTTATATTCTAGTTTTTGCTGTCTTGTTCACTTTTCTTTTTTTGACAACATTACATAATATCTCATAACATTAAGAATAAGTTATAAAATTTATTTAAAAATGTTTCATTATGAACTATAATGTAAAACATTTGTGGATATTTTGAATATACATACAATAACGATGTTGAATTTTTACTTTAATACATCATGGATGCAAAAATATGAAAATTTGTTGCTAAGGAATTATTACAAATATAAAACCATACTTCTTATTTACACACAGTAATCACACACGCACATATCAACGTAACTTAATCATCAGCCGTTCTCTTAACTTTCCGTTGCCTAGGGCTTTGTCTAGGAGTTTTAGGAGATTTATCTGGAAGAAAAATTTGTATGTAAAATACTATTTTATATTTTACTTAAGTTATATGATACTTACTAATTCTATTTAATGTTTCTTTTGGCAACCAATCATAATCTACATTATTAGGATTGGATGTACCCATTTCTACAGGTGTTTTACGAGTGTTAGAAGATCGAGATTTACGACCAAGAGATGACAGCAGCTGCTGTCCTCCTACAAGTATCAATATCACGCATGCTGCCAGAAATACATATAGGAAAATTGTTTCTCCATCCAGACCATCATCTAATTCTATTATTTGCACTGTTTCATTGTAAACAGCTTCACTGAAGCCAATACCATTCTATAAAATTATAAATTGCTATTAATTTTTAAGTTAAATAAAATACTTAAATTTTTGAAACTAAATATTTCATGTATTACATACTGTATCTCTATAATTCAGATTGACATTAAAGCCAAAAGGTCTTCCAGCAAGATTTTCTGACGGAATAAATGAATATGCTAATGTTGCTTCATGTTTTGGTTTTACAATTTTATTATATGCAACAGTTGAAAAGTTTTGAATGTAAAAGTTGAAGTCCATTGCATAACGGAAAGAAGCATCCAATGATTCCAGAACAAAATCTGATTCACCTTTATTGGTAAAACCAACAAGAAATTCAACTAAATTTCCAGCTGGTAGTTCTAGAAGAATAAACATAATATTAAATTCTAATTTCATAAAGAAATAAATGAAATAACGCCAGAAAAATTTATATATGTACCTAATGTTGATAATCCACTATAAACTGGTTTAGTAAATAATATTGTTGTATCAGCATCAGATGAAGCTGTGGTTGTTTCATCTTCTGGTTCTTCATCTGTTATTACAGAATTATCTTCTCCTTCAATATCTACGATATCATCTATATTTTCATCTTCTTGAGCATAAACTATAATAAAAATTACATATAATTATATAAATAAATATAAATATAATAATAATTATTTACACATAAATTATTATGAACAAATATAACATTTTAATATTGATTGAAACATAATTTTAGAAAAGCATTTATCAAAAACTATAAGTATGTAATGCAACATTATTTAAAATATTATTTTCAACTTATTAAATGACATTTGTATGAACTATATTAATTAAACATAAATTATGTACATACATAATAAAAGTTACAAAAGAAAACAATGTATTTTTTTCATGTCAATGTTTTACATATATATAATATGTGTTTTCCATGTCAATATGTTACATATGTAAAATACAAATATAAATTATAAAATGTAAAACACATACTAGTTAACATTTTTTATTTTGCATTACCTTTGTTGAATGTGAGAGTAATTGTTGAAATAAAAAGTAACAAAAAAATGCTATGTGTCTTCATTTCGTTGCGATGTTTTAAAACTAACTTTTCTGTTATGAATATCGATTTATTCCACTTCCCGAACACTCACTTCAAATCAACACTTGACCACACTGCTTCGCAATAGCACATCTGACTACCATCCCTGCTTGCGACGTGGAAGGACGGTAACGCAATCGTCAATCCTACAACGTGGAACATTAACGTAACGTTGGCATTAAATAAAGAACATCAGAAATGATTTAGTGTTACCAACATGGTAAATTTAATTACTAATAATTGTTCTTTTAAAGAAATAGAATTTAAATTTAGATAGAATATCTATGAAAAGTAATTTAGTATAATAAAACGAAAAAAAATACATATCATATTTATAGTTTAGTAATTTACGATATTTTTTTTACTGTAATACTAGTAAATGCACAGGATACAAAAAGTATGCAAACATTTGAATGCATATAAAGTAAAAAATGTGTACAAGTTATGCTACATGACAAATACATAGTTTGTAATACTTACAACGACTAGCAAGTTTTTCAGTCTTATTAAATCATGTGTAAAGTAACCAATAACAAAATATATATACTTGTATGATGTTTTATGTTTTCAGTAACTGTCTTTATTGTTCAAGCAATCATTTACAGACGAAAATAAATATTATAAAAAGTTACATATTTATATAAAGGTATTTGCTTTGAAAATTAAGTTAATATGTTTTAATTAATTTCAGTCTCTCTATACATATATGTACATGAAAACAGTGTGAAAGATCGATTACCGTATTTATTTCTTAAAATTGATATGTAAAATTTACATATGTCATATTGCTTTGTTTACTTTCATATAAGTGGTTCACTGAGGTACTAGCATACAGTGATTTTGTTATAATGTTACATACTCATTGTATTTAAATTTCTGACAAACTAATTTTAAAGTATAAGTCTTTTAATATGTTACTAAATTACTTTATTCACAACTAATGTCATATTTATGGGTTCAAAGAATTAAACATCACTTTAGTCCTTATTAATATTACAGATTACAAACATGGATTATGATGATGATTTCTTCTTTGAAGAGGATAAAATGTTGGTTTTATAAAATTGATTATTTTATTATTGATATGTGTTACACTTCAATTTAAATATGCTTCTTTTTTATTGCAACATGCATGTCTATATGTCACGGTGTGATAAAATAGTTTAGAAGATCAAACTGTATTATCTACAGATAATATTACTTTGAAAAATATTGTTGAAGAATTTAAAGAAAATTTCATTCCATTAGCCACTATGTCATCCGTTAATGTGCAATTGTATCAGTTTACTACAATGGAAGATCGCATGTATGCATTTTTATGTTTTATTTACATTTTTGTTACTAACATTTTATTTAATGTATGTTGTACATTTAAAAAATATTACAAACTGTATCTTTTCTATTTCTTCTAATCATTGTGGAACGTAGACCAGATGTAGAACTGGTCAATCAAGATCAGTCTCTTCATCATCTACCCAATAATACAACGTAAGTTTTGATAATAATGTGCTTGTTGTTAAAATTATATTTTAATATTGTATTATTTGATACTTGATTTATTTATAGTATTTTATAGAAATTAAGAATTAACTTACCATTTTTTAGTATAATATTTATAAACATTTAATTATTATCAGAACATTCAGGTAAGAATCTTTTGCATGTTTATTTATTACAAAGTTATATTTAGATTGTTTGAGTATGTCTTGTTTATTAATCTTTGGTTTGCTTATACATAAAGTATTATATATGTAAGCTTTTAAAATTATTTTATGTTTGCTAATATGTATACTATAAAATATTAAATGCATGAAGATTATTTATTTACAAATGTATATAATATTACACATTTATAATTATTAATATATTATTATTATTGTTGTCATTGTTATTGTTATAATAAATATATTTATTAAATTTTATTTATTTACATAAAATATTTATATTCTTTCTTTAAAGTAAACATTAAGTTTAACAACGTAATATATATTAATATATTCTTTTCTTTCATTATTTTATGTAGGGGTATGACCATAACATCTGGCAATATTATAATACAAAAAGACAGCAGTAATCTGATAGGCATAAGCATTGGAGGTGGAGCTCCATTATGTCCTTGTTTGTATATTGTACAAATTTTTGATAATACACCTGCAGCAATAGATGGTACTTTACAATCAGGAGATGAACTTGTAACAGTAAATGGAACCTCAGTTAGAGGAAAAACAAAAGTAGAAGTTGCAAAAATGATACAGTCTTGTGACTCTCAAGTCAGTATTAATTATAATAAATTACATGCTGATCCTAAACAAGGTCGCACTCTTGACATAGCTTTAAAAAAAGTATGTACTGTTTAAAGTGATTTTATTATAAATGATTATATAATTTTAAAGATGAAATTAAATTTCAGGTAAAGCACAGGTTAGTTGAAGGAATGGGAAGTGCAACAGCAGATGCTCTTGGATTATCACGTGCTATTCTTTGTAACGATGCACTTGTACAACGATTAATGGCATTGCAGCGCACAGAAAATTTATATAGGGGTTTAGTTTCTCATGCTAAAGCTACATTACATGCTTTTTTTGATTTAATACAAATATATAAAAGTATGATTACTACTTTTTGATCAAATAATTATATGTATATTAATATTTTGTGTTCAAATATTTTGAATATTGTTACTTTGTATGTTTTAGTATTTGGAGATGCCTTTGCTGCAATAGGAGTTAGAGAACCACAGCCACGAGCTAGCGAAGCTTTTAGACAATTTGGTGAACAACATAGACAAATGGAAAAATTTGGAATAACAATTTTAAAAACTTTGAAACCTATATTAAATGATCTGGGCACATATCTTCACAAAGCAATTCCAGATACCCGTTTAACTATTAGCAAGTACGCTGATGCAAAATTTGAATATCTTTCTTATTGTTTGAAAGTAAAAGAATTAGATGATGAAGAACAAAGTTACGCAGCATTACAAGAACCTCTTTATCGAGTGGAGACAGGGAACTATGAATATCGTCTGGTGTTAAGATGTCGACAAGAAGCTCGTGCAAAATTTGCTAAACTCAGAGCAGATGTACTTGTAAAACTTGAATTATTAGACAACAAACATGTTCAAGATGTTGTATGGCAACTGCAAAAATTTGCAGCTGGTTTAGCAAAATATTATTCTAATATACGAGATTTATTATCCGCTGTAACGTTATTTCCTGTTGAAGTTGATTTATCACACTCTGCATTTCAATATAAATCTACTGGTCCTCAAGTGATAACTGATGGAGATGATGTAGATGAATTTGAACCTGAAGAGAAAGTAGGTATAAATGAAGGTTTACTTATAGATACACAAAACTTTCCACTTATAACATCGGAGTCTAGTAATATGTAGCAATGTGCTTTCTCTTCACAAAAGATTTTCGAGACATTTATGTTTTCCTATTAAAATTTAAATATAAATGATATATTGCGGTAAGATTTTTCCAGTGTAACATATTTCCATTCTTTGTAATGAAATTTTACATCTTAATTTCATTGCTTTTCATAATACAAAAATTAATACCAAAGAGTTTTATTTTATAAGATTGTATACTTATAACAGATATGTATAAAATAAAAAGACATGTATATATTAATATCATCAATATATGTTGCAGTTTTACTTGCTGTTTAAAAATAATTAAATTTTATTAAAATTCACTTTATATTATAAATATTAATTATAAGATAAAAAAGTGTATTTATTACATTCTTAATTCATATAATAAATGTATATATTCTATACTACATGTATACTATTTTTGGTAACATTCTACATATTTTAAATATTTTTGATATTAAATATAATATATTTTATATTGTAATATTTTATTTTATTATTATATAAAATATTTAAAAAATATTAAAAATTAATTATTTAAGTATAATTACATTATATTACTTTCAAAATGTAATGAAAAAAATTTAACATACATAATTAAATTTGGAATAATAAACTAACAGTAAAAGAATTTAAAAACAGAAATCTCAATAAAACATGAACACAGCCATTGTAAGTTATTCTTGTAGTCTTCATGTTTACTGAAAATCCGAACTAAAAATTATGATTAGTAATAATTAAATGGTTGTGGTGCCTCTACTTTTCAATTGAATTGATAAAATTTAACATGGAAACTTGAATATTAAAACAAGAAGGCATACATTAATTAAAAATGAAAAAATTGAAAATAAAAATTGACTCTACTTCAACAGAAAAAAAAGGAGACAAAACAAAACAAAAAAAATATTTAAATAAAAGTTTGAGCAATTCCAAAATTAAAGATAATTCTTTAATAATTTCAAAACATTCAAATTAACTACTTTGATTTTGAAAATTACTCCGAGGAGTAATTTTCATAAAAATCGCGAGAAATAGCAATTAAAATGAAGAGCATGAATAACTAAATATTTTTATATATCAGTTTAGAAATTCATGTAATTACGATTCTAATACACGATGTACAAGGAAGCCCTAGCCTAAGTTGAGAAATGTATCATAGAAATATATTTTGCTCGAGTGCTATTAAACCTCAGTACATAAGCACTCATGGTCACTATGCTTTCTGCAAAAATAATAAAATACGATTATAATTACGCATGCCGTCTCAGACCATCCTGCGATATGATAAATAACCAAAGGAATAATAAAGCATGCGACTTACCGACCGTAGATAGCTTCAATCTATCAAAGCAACTTACGATTGGCAATAGAATTTGTCTTGACAACAGCGTTAAGATGGTCACTTTTTATCTTGGCTTCAGTATGGTAATAACCTTATTGATTGTCTCCTCTCGTTTTATCTTCAAACTTCTTTGTCACACTCGCAAAATCGTGGATATACGGCTGTAAGTACTTACTTCGGTCGATATCGGGTAAAAAGTTGCGTGCACGAAATCGCTCGACCAATACGAAAATCGTTAAATTTTAATACACCACATTGTTAAAGAGTTTTTAGCAGTAATAATTTAACTAATTTTAAAAATATGCAATATTTGTTAGGAAATATAATCTAGAAATAAAATATTAATGTTTGATTTTAGTATCGCAAAAAATTAAATTATTCAATTTTAATAATTAATTAATGCCAAAATTTATATAAAAAATATGTAAAAAAATGTATAATATATATAAATTAATCATAATTAAAAATTTAAATTAACTGTCCGATTGGTTAAATTTTTGATAATCACATTTCAAAGTTAGAGAGACAAATAACTTTCATCTGGGACTCCGCAGTCTTTATATAGACAACATTCAATCTTGTCAAAGACAAACAAAAATTCCTAGTTTACCGATATTCAAAAACACAACGTTTCTATTATTATAACTAATTTATTAATTTTTATTGCAAATTTATGCTCTAGGTAATTTTTTATAACCATGCGTGCAATAATATATACATTTATTCTTATATACAAAGTTGTTTATGTTCTTATAACATTAGTTTTAAATGTATAACTAATTAAAACAATGTTTAGCACTTTTTAAAGTAAAATTAAGCAATAATAGTAATAAAAAGGTAAGATTAATCGGTGGTTATCATATGCTGGAGTATATAATTAATCAATGTAAAACAAATTAATATTCAATTTAACAAAGTTTGTGAATATTTGTAGTTTATTGTTTCATAATGTTACTGCAGAAATAAATTAATTAACAAAATTCAAAAAATAATTCAAATACTTAAAAAACATCAAGCTTCGTTTTTTGATGAAAATAATAGCTTTTTATTATTTTATGAATTTTTTCACTTCTATTGTATAATAATAAATTATATTTCCATTTAAATGTATAAGCACTGTAGGAGAATAATATTAATATCAAAAAAGGAAAAAATGTTTTTTTATATTCTGATTGTGTAAATTTGTATTGGAGTACATAAGATAGTATGCATACATGATACATTCACGAAGTTAATAACATGAAGTTAGCAATTATAGAATGATTTTTAAATAAAATAAAACACATATAATGATAATGTGACATTTTGACGATATTTTTATATAATTCAAATTAAAAATTGTTTAAGTTTATTATTTATGACATTAATTTATACATTTTTAACAATACAACGCTGGTACGCTGGTAGTTACGTCAAAGATGCAGAGCAACTTCAAATTTTCAAGGGGTAATGACAGCGGTGTAGCAGAAGCAATTGGAAATTGGGGATTTTCTAACAGAATTTCGAGTTCTGGTCAAGAACTTAGACGTTTAAGATGTCTCTTCAACAAGATGGATTGCTTGTAAGAAGTAAAATCTACAATTTTTTTCTTCCAATTAAATTTAGATCAACTATAGATCAGAAATAAGCAATAACACGAAGATTTGAAATTAATACATTATATTATTTTGAAAATGTTGTTTCCTTATATATTATTCGGACTTACAGGAGAACTACAAAACCAGTGATGTGTGTAAAATATAATTGTTTATATGATCCAGAAGCATGGTATACAAAACCTAGTCCTGAAGAATGCAAACCGCTCTGGACAGTACCAATGAGAAGGCCGCTTATTACATTTAGTTCCACTGCTGATATATATATGACTGCAAATTTAAATAGAATCGGGACGGATTTACTTTACCCTATTCCAGGTCGAAGTTACCTATTACAGGGTGTATGTAAAAATATTTACCACTGTTCTACTATGGTTATGGAGTTTCGTATTTCCATTTTATACTCTATCATCTTATTAATTCTTCTAATTTATTATACATCTGAACACCTAATGTGAAATGTAATGTAAAATGATAAGGGAAGTTTCATTATAAAATTAGTATAGGTTAGCATATACACATAAGCGTATCACACTAATTAATTAGCTGTAAATCGTGATTAAATTTGATGGTGAAGAGGGAGTGGAAAAATGAACCCTAGATCTTAAATACGAAAATACTTTTCAACTACTTAGTTTACCTGTTATATACATATATTGGTTATCGACCGCTGATATGTGTTTTCATATACAATAATTCGGAAACTCATACATATGTAGCATTTACCATAGGCAGGTGATAAAAATCCGAAAAATGTTTGTACATTTTTTTATTTCGGGCTTTTACCACATCATTTCGGTAAATGTTAGGATTTAGCAATACCAATTAGTAAAAGTCGTTTCTGTTTGATTAGGAGTATGTTTTTTAAGTGAATATGCAGGAAAGAATTATAATTAAGTCTATTCTACACAATAAAATGAAAACTAACCTAAAACGGACTTTTGTCAATTGAAAATCCATTTTGTGTTTAGGTTAGGTTGGTTTAGGTTTTTCGGGGCGGGAGTCAAGGTTGAAGTGTACTTTAATGTATGAAGTATATAGTTTTTATGACACGTTATACCAAGCATCTTTTATTTTTAATTGCTGTTATTATAATAGTAAAAATATTACTAAAATACTGTATATTAGTAGAAATATTACTGAATCATTACTGTTAAAAAGAGTTTGATTTTTTATCTCTTTTTAATAGACGGATAAATGGTATCGGCATGGACCAGGATGTTCTCCTCTGCAAACTTGTTTAACACAATGCCCCCCAAGATCATATTGCTGCTAAAAATTAGTACATGTAATTTTTAATTCAAAATATTTTAAATTCGTATATATTCGAAACTATATAGTAATGTATATAAGAATAAAATGATGTTTGACGTAAATTGTTACATGTACCTTACATGCATTAAATACCCCGCAAATATATTTTATTTATGAAATATAATATACTAATTACAATTATATTTATGTTACATACTCTTAAAAAATATGTATTTCAAATTTAATTATTCATTTTCATATGAAACTTGATCAGTATTGCGTTTGTGTTAATTTCATTAAATAGTTTTCTTTATTTAATAAGCATAACGTTTTGTATTTTTATTGAAGACAATGAAAGCCAATAGGATCTACTGATGCGGATGAATTAATTCATGTGATTTAAGCTGTTAATTATTACTTCGTTGACCCTTAATTAAATGACATTTTATAAAAATATGTATTTTTATAAATAAATGTTACTATCATTATTGTAAATATTATTATTATGAATATAAATTATTATTATTATTAATATTATTATTATTATTGTGGCATATAGATATTAAAATATTTTTATATAATTAATAATAAATTATTAATCGCAGCCAAATTATTGCTTACATAATGATATTACTAGCTATTAATATTAATAAAATTACTAAACATTGAAAGAATGTATTAATCTTATTTCATGGTACACTTTTATTTGTAGCAATAAAGTGATTTATAAGCAAATTTGTTTGTAGTATAGATTATCTACTTAAAATAATACATTTGCTATGGCTCTTACATTGTGATGTGTAAAATTCAATTCTGGATTAATGTTCCTCATTTCAATAATGTTAATGCGTATAGAGATGAAACAAAATGCGATCGTTACAAAATTAGAAAATTTAACGTGAAATGTATCCATAGTTCAATAAATATCCACAATAGTTCAATAAATTTTAGTTTTTATCCAAAATTTCTTGCAACATGGTAAATTAACAAGTATTTTGTCCTCAACAACGTTTACACAACCGAACACAATGGCAACTACTTCAACAATTTGTACAGTAAAACCAAAAGCAATAAAATGGTTAGTTCAGTACTTCGATAAATATGTACATATTTATATTTTAAAATAATTATATGTACGTCCACATTATAGTAATATAATAATATAGTTAATCTATATAGAATACAGGTATATGATTGTGAATAAATTATGATCAACTTTGTGATAATAAATTATATATTTCATATCACACATATATATATATATTTATGTATAATAATAAAATTATATATAATAAATTAAACTTGGTAATAATAATAAAGTATTAGAATTTTCTTTATGTCCAGTTATGTTACTTTTAAATATTAAAAAATAAATTCCTTAAGATAAATCTAAATGTATATAAATATGTACATAAACATGTATCCTTTTAATTTATTATTATCCTTATAATTATTAATTTATAAATTTTCATACATTTTTTAATATCACGTTATTATACTTTTTAAATCAATATACATTTAATCGATTATACTTACAACGTTGTCTCCTGCTTTAATATATATTATTTCATTTTTTAATTATTTTCAAATTAAATTTTATATGTTTAGTTAATACAGAGGATAAGAGATTTTGAAACAATTCCTGCAATGCTATATTATACGTTAAAAATTATATTTTCTCTTAATCATCTGCTTAATAGATTTATTTATTTTATTTCCCTAATTTAAATATACGTAGCCACCTTATTGCATATTCATCAACTTAATCCTTATAAAAGAAACTTAATTTCTCTATGCTTAATAGTGCTTATCATCAAAGAATATCAAAGCCACAGGTATGTAATCAGGAAAAAGCACCATGTATTCCAATGTATCTTATGATCCCATTTGAAGAAACACAAAGAAAAGAAACATGTTGTAAATATAGAACAGATGGATTTAAAAAAATTACCCAGACTCCAGAGGTAAATTTCCCAATATGTAGAATAAAGTTCAACAATAACAATAAACTGAACATATTTGTAATAATAAAATACTAAAAATGCCATAGGCTTGAATATTCTGCATATGTACAAATTTAAAAAATAATTACAATCGGTCAAAAAAATATTTTAGTGCACGTGTAATTCGGCTACTGTTAGATTTAACATTTACGTTTTACTTAATACATTTATTTCATATAATTATTTTGTTATGTTATTATTTGATTTATTATTTTATCATTTTATTTTAGAAAACAAATTGCTTAAAATTTCCTGAAATGCGAAATGGTATTCTGTTCACAAGATGCCAGTGTGTACATAGAGATGGTCTTCAAGATGACTGTCCATTAAGTCAGTGTCAAAATCAACCCGAATGCTTTGTCAAACCATGGCCCAACTGCTTACCAGCACAATATTTACAGTCTCGACATCCGGAACAGTATCCATCAGGCAATTAATAATAAAATTCCCTTTATTTCTGTTTTAGCATAAATATATATACATATCCTGGTATACTTTATAATAGTATTACGTCGAATCGAGAATAAAGAGAAAAAGTATTTGGTACCATAACATTAATACTACGATATTCAGTGAAAATATCACCACTGTATTGGAACTATGTAACTTTTCGAACTAAATATAATAAAACTATAGTAAGAACACTTTGATCATGATATTTATTGAAATTTTCATAACATACGTTTATATACATTGATTCCAAGGAGAAATTAACAATGTATATAAAATGCACGAAAATCTCTGGAACCGTGTATTAAATCTTCAAACCCAATTTTTCTAAAAAATTTTTATTTCATTTTGTAGCATAAAATTATAAAAACATTTCGAATTTAATATTACACAGAGAGATATGAAACATATAGCAAAATATACTCGTGACAAAATGATAATGCATACTGTAAGGAAGGTACAAGATATAGACAGATAAACATCGTCATAAACAATTTGGTATACAAAATGGTCAGTATCGTGACAAATATTTTGCTTAACATGGAGGACAAACTGATAGACATGGTGATAAACACATCGGCAAACATAGTGGAGTACATGGTGTTGAACATGGTTGTGGGCATACCGGGAAACACGGAGGCGGACATGGTGGCGGACATGGTGGCGGACATGGTTGTGGACATGGTGGTGGACATGGCGATAAACATGGCGGACATGGAGAACATGGAAAACATGGCGGACATGGCGAACATGGTGCACATGGGGGACATGGTGGGCATGGTGGACATGGTGGACACGGTGGACAGCGTGGCAAACATAATGGTAAACATGGTGGTGGACACGGCGGTGAACATGGTCGTAAACATGGCGGACATGGAGAACATGGTGGACACGGTGGTAAACATGGCGGACATGGAGAACATGGCGGACATGGTGGACATGGTACCGAACACGGTGGACAGCACGGTGATGGACATGGGGGTGGACATGGTGGTGGGCATGCGGATGGACATGGAGGTGGGCATGGTGGTAAGCATAGCGGTAAACACGGTGGTGGGCATGGTGGTGGACATGGTGGTAAACATGGTGAACAACATGGTGGTGGACAAGGTGGTGGACACGGTGGTAGACATGTTGTCGTACAGGGTGGCGTACATGACGGCGGACATGGGGGTGGACATGGAACACAAACGTTATAAGAAGCACACGGCGGTGTACAAGAACTGATACAGGGTGTACACGATGATAACTCAACACATACAGGCTTGCAACTTGGTTTACAGCTACTCGAATAGGTGCATACCGGCATTTCGTTACAGCAGACTGCATTACTATTACATACCAATCTACAATATGCAGCCAAGGCTGCCTCCCTTGCCTGATCGGCGCAATAAAATTTCTTTAAAGCAATTTCCATGTCCCCTAAATCGGTCAGTTTTAACAACGCATTGCGGCCTGGCATGCAAACGGGATACAGTTTTGTCATACATTCTGGTCTACCCATACAGTTCCACATCATACATCTGTCTTGTAGGCCATTTCTTTTGATACATTCGCATCTGTATATAATACTTGCACGAAAATCAAAGCTTTTACACTGTTTCACTGGAATCTGAAATTTAATATATACAACTTAATTCTTTATTATCTCTTATTAAAGCAGTTTCTTATCAGCCCTTTGCACTTCACTGGCATCGTTACAGATCCAGCGATAATCCGCAACGTGTTTTATTTAATTATATCTTCACTGAGAAAGATAAAAAGAATGTTATAATTATTATAAAAATAAATTCACAGATAATTTCTCTTTTCCGAAACAAAATTTTTACTTTCAGAATATTCCTTATCACGAAAGCGTGTTGAAATTGCTAAATGATTGAATGTATAGATGTTTAGGGTCCAAACAGTAAAAAAGCAATAAAATATAAAATCGTTTCGTTAGAGAACAACTCTAAGGATAAATAAAATTATAACAGTGGTGGTTTGGAAATTGGTCAAGTTTTTGCCGGAGGAATTCATTTTTAAATTTGAGTTCTCCACCTTTGGAGGATCGATAGAGATCTGTTCAAAAAGGTAACTATAGTAGAATTGTGACTAAGCATAATTTTCACCTGAGTCAAATTTTCTTTTAATGCATCGTATTTAAATATGATGGATAAACGAAGCTTTTTCTCAATAAAATCATTGAAAATATTTTGACCTATTACAGGAACATGCATCAAATGACCGTGCGACCATTTTTCCAGCGTTAAAAGGACTACTCGACACATGCATTGAGTACAATACATGTAACGAGTGAAATTTAAACGGGACACCAAATTCGATGCCTACTCGATATTTTAACAGAGTCTTAATCGATACAAAGGTGTATAATCACACTGTAATAGCCATGATTATTAATTTCAATACACCATGTACTCTATCTCCCTCGCTCTTATGTCACTGAAGAAAATTTATGTTAAAATTTATGTTAATTTCTACTTACACAATCAGAACAATTAGGTACACAAGGTGAAGTGTAGATAACAGGAGGTGCACATGGTGGCTCGTCCCATTCACATGGTTTCCTGTTACATACGATTCACAATTTTATTTATGTCTACTAATTTACTTTTAACATTCTATCACCTTTTTTCCATAGAACTAATCAAGCATTTTAACTGAGTTAATAACTCTCGTCTCCTGTCACAATTTGGATTTCTTCCATCACATGGCATTTTCAACGATAACTGTGTTCAAATTGCGTAATACGAAAATTTTGATTATATTCAAGCCCGATGAAATACGATTTTTTTACATATTCATTATATTTTTAGCATATTTTTCACTCTATTAATTTACTTTTCGAAACATAGCATTAGAATGATTTATCCCAGAAAAAAATGACAATGTTATCTGAACATGTCTCTGGTGTATAATAAATGAATAATATTTTCACATAAACTTCAGTTGTTCGATATTCCGTTTGGTACAAGCAGCAGCATCAAAATTGCATGTTTATTACACCATAAAAATTTATATATAAAGGAAAAATCTAATAAAAAAAGGAAGAAGGATAATGTCTTGTCGAGGAAATACTTCATCATGTTGCACACCTGGCTGCCTATCACCTGTGATGCAATACCAGTTACCATCTTGTCCATCGTGTGTATCTTATCCATGTATTCCACCAATTTGTGTAGCATGTCCACCACCGTGCAAAATTACTATATGTACACCACCAGTGCCGTGCGGACCTTATCCACCAAAATGCATTCCGTATTGTCCACCTGCATGTGCCGCAAGATGTCTAACTAGAGTCACAGCACGATGTTATAAATAAATTATCCACATATTAGAAGAACATGTACATACCTATCATTTTTGTCCGTTCGGCACGAATTAACGTCATTTACTATGCTGATCAGAATTTCAATGATTAATACATTTCGTACGATAAAATAATAAGTATCGTATAATTAAAATATAATGGAATACATGAACTGTATACATGTAAGAAATGCAACACGTGTTATGTCCCTAATACCTAAGTGGCGGTAATTATGAAAGTGGTGTAAGTCAATGATTCAAGCAAAACGATCTTATCACTTATTTCTCGTGATATTTAGTCATATTGCAATAAAAAAAAACTATGTTTACGAAATACTGAAGAATCGAAACGTTATATCTTGTTTATAGCTTTGTCGTAATTTATTTTTTTAATTTATAATATATTCGAAGTAAGAAGTTTTAAATGTTTCGAAATGAAGTATATGTGACTTAGGTCACTTTCGTGATCACTGGCACATGTATCATATAAAAATTTTGTTGTACAGATTTTGCATGGTTACCATACCACCTACGTGTATTCCGCCACCCAAGGTATATATTCCTAAACGTCCTTGTCGCAGACCTAATTGTTTTCATGCCCCAGAACCAAGATGCTGTTTATACTTGTATTGGCGTCTTCCATGTAAAGCTGATTGTTTTGAAGTATAAAAAGTAATCGGTGTTAATTTTACTACGACCTGCTTAAAAAATTCATTTATTCAACATTATTAACAAACACGGTCTAATAAGTAACAATAATAGATGTAAAATATATCGTTAAATCATAATACATAATACTGACAATTCGTAACTCATTAGTAAACACACGCGTATATAATAAATCTCGTTTCATATAAAAATTGTATCGTGTACTGTTACATCGTGAGATTATGTAATGTAAAAATAAAGTAGTTAATTTCTAAGCAAAATAAAATAATGTGATGAACATTTATGTTACATTATACTACAATGAATACGCGTATAGATGAACTTATGTAATTACACAATTAAGAAATAAATTTGAATGTATTTTTCCCTATTTTCAATAAGATACCATTATCATTTAATTTCATAATAAATCTAGGAAAATCGTCTATTAGAAATTTCTTATCTAATGCGATTTCCTGCAGTCTTTTCATTGTAAATATCTTACTATTATTAGAATCTGTCTCTCTCTTTAATAGCTTTATAAACTCCGTGATCTGTAAACAAAAAATACATATTATCTTAGAATTTTGTATTATATTTTGCCTTTTTAAATTTTTTATTTTTGAATTTTGTATTTTTGTTTTTTTTTTGTTAATATACCAACCTTTCCACTGGTGGTATTCTTTGTACCTAAAGATTGCCAATTTACATTTTCGTTATCAAATGTATGTTGAAATATTTCTATCACATCCAAAGCATCTGTTTCTACTGCTTCCGTACGTAATTCCAACTTAGCTCTAGCCTACATATCAATTTTAACATTTGTTTCACAAAAATGAAAATTTTTCTTAAAAATTTATAAATAAAAACTATAAATTGGAAATTAAAAGGCTAAACCTCTGTCAATCGTATCATAGCTTCTAACTGTCTATTGCAAATAGAAAAGCCACTAAATTTATTATTTTTCTGTCGAAGTTCTAGATAATATTTTTGTAGTAGTGCAGCTGTTTCTTCGGTTAACTTTGGCTTAACGTATTGTCGTGCATATGCAATATATTTCCTGAGAATTGACTGTGGAATGACATTTACATTTTCAACTACAGACAATCTAAGTCTATCTCTAAAAAAAAAATGTTTTTGTTATTATAATTATTATTATTAAAAAAAAAAAATGATATATTTCAATTACTTTAGTGGAAGTTTGACTGTTGATGGTACATTTGTTTGTTGCTGTGTACTACTTTGTGTACTCCTAGATGTGCTTGAGTTAGCATGAATTGACAAAACATGTTTACATAATAAATCGTCTATATGCTGTTGCAAACGAAATCAATGTTAAACACATGAGCTTTCTTAAAATATAATTATATAATGATTATAATGATTAAATATTAGATAACCACCGTATTTGGTTCATCCAGTAATAAAAATATTAAATCGAAACGTGACAGAAGAGGTGCACTCATTTTCAAATTTTGCGTTATTGTTTTACTTCTATTAAACCGACCACTAATTGGATTAGCAGCTGCAAGAATCGAAGTTCTGGTAGGAAGAGAACATATTATTCCTGATTTAGCAATGCTTACACTCTGTTGTTCCATAGATTCTAATAAAACCTATAATTAAGAACAGAACGTAACAGATGGTAAAAAATTATTCCTTATAAAAGTATAATGTCTAAACTGTTATATTTTAATTAATTTTGTCGAAGTTAATTATATGTCGATAAATTATATTTAAATAGTTGTAATAATTTTACCGCATGTTGTTTATACATTTTATCAAATTCATCGATACAACAACAGCCTCTATCTGCCAACACCAAAGCCCCTGGTTCTAAACTAAAATTGTTACTCTTATTTTCTTTTGTTAGCGTTATCGTTAAACCAGAAGATGTAGTTGCATTTCCACATACATATACACCTTCGAAAATCGTCATCATTAATTGTTCGAAATTATATGGAATTAAACTATTATCGTATAAGTACCTTTCGCAGCATTTCGTGCACAAGCCTGCAACATTTGTGACTTTCCAAGACCAGGATCACCAACAACTAATATATGAATATTTTCTCGTAATTCCGAATGTTCTACATTTCCTCCAAATAAACTTAACATCAGTCCAGCTTTAACTATTTCGTGACCATAAATGCTTGGACAAAGAGAATGCACCAAAAGTGGGAAAATATTTGGTGTATTGTAAACTTCCTATCGCAGTTGATGAAACATATATTTTATAATAATATAAGTTACGTGATATGTTAATACAGTAAAATATATTAGTGATTTATATACCTTTATGGCTAAATAATCCTTTATAGACATTTCATTATTCATGACATTTTTATTCGTGAGTCTCTGTTTATTGTTAACTATCGTAATAGCCTCCATGTACAAAGAAAATGAATTTTTATTTCGAATCTTAGCGTGATTAGTTCCCTATACATATAATATAGTATTTCATTTCAGGTCTTTTATAAAATTTTAATAAAAATTAAAATATGGAGTGTATATTTTTCATAAATATATAGGTAAAAGAAATTTCATTACTTTTAATAAGAGAAAATTTTAAATATAAATTTTAAATTAATTTTAAATAATAAGAATATTTACTTTCAACGAGGATACTATAAAATTAAAAAATTGGTTCCTGAAATCCTATTTTTAAAAGGTTCAAAGTCATCGACATTTTTTTGAACGGAATAATATATTTCTACGATTATGTTACTGCAACCAGTCGCTTAAAATTATCGAAAAATTTTAATTATTTATTAACTCCGTAATAAAAAGTTCTGGAAAATATTATATTATTATAACGTAAAATAAAATCCGTAAACATTAATAAAATTCAAATTGCTTTTAAAGGAAAGTAGTATTTACCATTTATATGTTAAAATGTAAAATAATATTTGTTAAGAATTATCACAAATATGAATTAATTCCAAATATTAATAATACGTATACACTTTACCTTTATAATTCCTGTTAATGTAACATCATCTCCAGGCATACAAATATTAACCAAATCATCCATTAATTCGATATCAACCATTCTAGGCATACTACCTTTACTATTCTGTAAAGAATAGAAACTATAAATATAAAATACTCTACTGAATATACTTATAACTTTATAACTTTAAATACCTTTCAGTATTTACAATTAAAATTATTCACCCCTTTATTGATATATTATATGTGTATATAAATACACTTTTGTATTATTTTCACAGGTAACGAATTATTATGGCCATTTTAAAAAATACCGTTTTGCAATTACACAAAAGTATAAATTTACTTATAGGAGGAATTTATTTAATAATTAATAATAACTCTTTATTTTACTATATTATTAATTTTTGTATACGTGTATTACCTTTTTCTCTTTGAATCAATCCATATGTTTTTCCCTAATATTCATCATACAAAATTATATATATTTAAAAATGATTAATTAACGATACAAATTAAAATGACAATATAATATGGATCATCGTGTATATAGGTCCGTATTTCTGTGTTAGCTATTGTCGATTATAAGCAACTCGAAAATGTACTATTTTATTTATCTCTTTTAATACTCTCAATTTCGACATAAGAACTAAAAACAAAGACCAAAATAAGTATGAGAAGAATTTGATATAGAAGCTAATTTGCAAAGTGAAAACAAGGATTTTTAACAAAAGAGTAAACAATTTTGATTGTAGGTATCGTCAAATTCCGAGTATTATCGAACTGAGTACATAAAATTTATAAAGATCAATTTTCGTGTTTGTAATAGAAATAGAAACCTGATCGTTATTTGTAAGTTCTTGTATCTTGATTGTTTGAAAGGAGATACTCTTCACCAATGGCGAATCTAACATTGCACGAAACTTGGATACACCACATACGTTACATTTTCTCGGAACAGTATAAACTCCTAAGGGCTGTTTCATTATTTTCTGCAAACCACATTTACGACAAGCAAATACGATCCATTGTGCGAGATGTTTCACGTGACCAACTCTTATTACACAACCTCTGATAGACACTAATTTTCCTATTAAAAATATCATGTATAGTAATACAGCAAAAATTATTTATCGCTTAAAGTCTCGCATACGTACCATAAAAATTTGCTTTCAAGTCTTGCAAACATATAATCGGTTCGTGATTTAATATTTTTAATCTAACGGTAGACAACGTATTTATGATATTTATAGAACTTAAATTTTCTCGTGCTAACGTGCGTAAGATTTGCTGGAAAAACAGAATTTAATATTTCGTAAATGAACGAAGATCAGAAATTATTATACGTATACCTGGTGTATTGCAAGTTTAAAGCAATTTAAAGTATGTAATGGATTTTCGTGTAAATCCTTCTTGAAATCAGACCATTCGGTCAAAAAATTCGTATCATTGCATAATTCACACATATCGATAACGAAAACTATTCCATTTTCCAGATTTTCTAGTGTAAGTAGGGTTAACAATTGTTGGTGCTTGTTTATGAAATTTTCTGCTGTTTGGATTTTTTGAACAGTATCAGAACCACTTTCGTAATCTAAACAACGAATTATTATGTTTTCAAACTTTTTCAAGCTTTATTTAATAACAGATATAAGAAATATTTCCACCTTCATCGTGAAAGAATAGCTTCCATCCATAGAAAGGAATATTGAAATTGACATAATCATTGTGTACATTTAATAGATTAGACATTGCAATAGGATCCAAAGATTGGTATACATTTTCATTACTTTGATCGTCTTTGTGATCTGTAAATTATTGATCATATGAATATAACATAAATAATATAATACTTTACTCAACGCAGACTGTGTAAATTATTTATGTTATACGTCTAAATTAAAATTTCGTTCAGTAGAAATTTGATTACTATATTAATTTATAAAATATAAGTATTAATATAAAAAACATGTAAAAAATGTAAAATTTTTATACTAATATTTAAAGTATAAGAATTATATATGTAAATACTTTTTCAAAAGGCATCAATAATATCAAATTTGAGAACGGTGGTAGAAAAAAAAAGTGGATCCAAAATATAAAATTTTGGTTTCGAGTATTTATTAATATCTGATATATTACTAAAAAATCTGTCGGTATTAAGCATTAAATTCTGCCTATAAATATATAAATTAGGGTGATCGTTTGAAACAAAAATAAAAAATTATAAACGTTTGTGTATTTATTTGTATAATAACCTCCTTCCACTGTCCATCTTTATTGATAAGAATAAAAACAAATAATATATTGTAGATTATCAATCCCCATATAGTGGCATCAATGTAGTAAAAAGAATTAATAATATTGTATAACAGTGGAGCAGTTCATAGATCTACTTTTAGGCTTTTGTACATGCTATAATTATACATTTTCTTACTTTATATTCAATCGATTTATAGCACATGCTACGATTGATAACGTAGTAAAGTTATCTGTTCATGTATTTTGTTCACTTTTTATTATATTACACAAATCAATATTTCAAATAACTTTCCTGTATATATAATAGACTATTGAGCTTAGTTACCAAAATATTAGTAAAAAAACTTCACATATAATTATACATCCGGTGGAAATGTATATACATGTATATTGATGCTACATGTACGAGTGAGCAAGCGCAAGGATGTTTTTATATCGGCACATGCGCTGCAATAGCTTGCATAATACGTATATATGGTGCGGTTCGCACGCTAGTGAACTCAAAGGCAGCATCGTAGCACGAGCCTTGTATCCTTACAAGGAACCTGACGAATGTGTACAGCGACAAATTTATGTATGACTTGTAGAGTTTCAAGTGTGGAAGCTTTCTGTATAGGTGGTACCACCTTTCAGTTCATTAGTGAACAGATCACCCTGTATACTATAATCATGTAAATAAAATTCAATGAGTAATATTGAAAGTATACATAAGCACAGATACTTAAATGATATCGAAAGTTATTTAAACTTTTAATTGTCATAACAGATAACATTTAACAACACAATATAAAAAAGCAACTAATATTTAGATTTAATTTCATAAAAATATTTTTTACAATTTTATGACAATGAAAAGAAAAACAGTAAGTAGTATATGATGAACAATACAATCTTATTGTTGATAAAAAAATATTTTATTCATAAAATTTCTTTAAAATAAACCAGAAGAAATTTGCGAAAATAATGAACCAAACTCTAATTGTAAACATACAATAATATAATATCATTATTATACTTATGATAAAAGATATTACATTATTTATATTTCAAAATTATGAATCTAAGAGTTACTTTAATTTCAATTCCTTTGAAGTACCAAATTATTTCTATATGTTGACATTAAACCTATCATGGGCTAAATTACCGTTTTTAAAATTTTCATTAAATAAATTATTATGTTAAACAAATAAATTAATATCAATGTGATATGCTTAAGTACATAAGTTCACTAATTGAAAATATAAATTAAAATAAAAAAACTCAAATATATTAATAAATAAAAATAACTATGGTTCTTACACTTGTAATATATGTACTATCAAATGTCCCTATTGTTAATACATCGATATATAAACCATTTACAAATCATTACTATATTTTTTATGAAATTACATGACATATATTATTAACTTAGAAACTCGTGTTACATTTATATTCCAGTAACTTAAATTGGTCTTAAATTACAAATTACTAATCTTTTTTATAATAATTATTAGTAAATGTAAAAAGGGTGATATATGATAGAGAAAGGGACAATTTTAATTTCACATAATATGTAATGAAAATAATTATATAACATATTAAATAAAATTATACAACTGTTACAGTAAATATTTGTTTACTGAATTGAAAAAACAACTAGTCGAAGTATAAAAAGAATAAATACAAATTTACTAATTATATTTAATTCTTATGACATGTTTTGTATTAATAAATTATTCAGAACGATCAATTGATAAAAATGCAAAAAGAAATAGCTTACTATATGATTTTGTTGGCTTCTTTTTATTGATGTATCGTTTGCTCTTATAAAAATTTTTCGGTTTTTTATCATTCATAATTATATGTAACTATTTAAGCAAATATGTTTATAAAAATACAGCAGTAACTACAAAATATATTCTATTAATTTCTGTAAGATTCTCACGGATAGGTTATAAATATATAATTTAAAATTTATATATTTAAAAAATTCGTTCGCATGTAATATATAAATAAAAATTGATTAATTTTAATATCTATTACTTTCACTACTTTTATTAATTAACTACAAAACGTTTTATTAGAAAATTTTAATGAAAACGAGATTAGACAACCATCACTACTTGTAACTATGGAAACAGTTGCTTTGTTACTGTTTGTCGATATTCTTTATGTTACTGCGTATAAACTTTTAATATATTTATTTTGTTTGTAATTCCTTTATTAAAGTGTATTCACAAATTTCATTGAGTTTTTCTTTCTTTATTATAAAATTATGTATTTAATATTGTATTAATTAATTCCGGTTAATAATCCCAGTTATAAACAGAAAAGAATATATTTATTTATAAAAAACGAAGTTATTTTAATATCATAATTTACTATTAACTTACAAATATTTTGAATATGGATAGATATATAATCACAGGAAAAATTGGAAAAGGAGCACAAGGTATTGTTTTAAAAGCATATGATGTGGAAACAGAAAAAGATGTTGCATTAAAAAAGTTATTTTTAAAAAATATTGACAATGGTATATCCACATCCATTATTCGTGAAATAAAAATTTTGCAACAATTAAAACATCTTAATGTATGTGTATTTTAATTATTACATGTATTACAAAATTCTTTGATCTTTAAGTTATAAATATGTTAATAAGAAAAGAAATACCATTATAAAAGTGCAGTAATAAATTTTATGAAAAGAATTGATTTATTACAGGTAATAGAGTTATTAGATGCTTTTCCTGTTGGTTTAGATTTTATAATGGTTTTTGAATATATGCCAACAGGATTATGGGAAATAATAAAAGACAATGATATATTATTAACTCCAGTTCAAGTAAAAATATATACAAAGATGATATTAGAGGGTATTGCATACATACATGAAAAAAATATAATACATAGGGTAACATATCTTAATATCTTTTACATAAATTATGATTAGTATAAATAGTTGCTCAAATATAAATTAATACATAGAGAATTAAATAAAATAAAAGTAGTAATAAGTATATTTGATGAAATTTAATTATATATACATTAAACTTACAGACTATTACATAATCTCAATTTTTAGTTTATTTACTTTATATATATAAAACTGTATTAAATTAAAGTAAGGGCATCGGTATAATATTTTTAGGATTTAAAACCTGCTAACTTATTAATAAATGAAAAAGGTATTTTGAAAATCGCTGATTTTGGTTTAGGAAGATTATTATGGAAAAATGTAACAAAACCATATTCTCATCAAATCGCTACTAGATGGTATAGAGCACCTGAATTATTATATGGTGCACGATATTATACGTCAGCAATTGATATGTGGTCCATTGGTTGTATTTTTGGTGAATTACTTAATAAATCACCATTATTTCCTGTAAGATGCAAAATATTTTTACCTTTTAATTTTTCTATTACTTTGTAATATTATCTATGATAATAATTTTAATATATATTATATTGTAAATATCAAACTTACAGGGAGAAACAGATATTGAGCAGTTAGCAATTGTCTTAAAATATTTAGGTTCTCCTACATCAGAAACATGGCCAGACTTAAGTATATTACCTGATTACAATAAGATCACATTCCCATATCATAAAGGAATAGTATGGGAAAGAATTATTGAAGATACTGAACCAGAAGCTATTGATTTAATTAGTAAAATACTTATTTACAACTCATCAAAACGTTTATCAGCTAGTGAAGTATGTAATAAACTTAATGTAATACTCAAAATGAATTACCATATTAACATGCTTTCTATTTTAGGCATTACGTCATGTATATTTCCATATTAGACCTTACACTTCTGCAAAAAATTTAATAAAACCACAAACTAGTCATCGTTACCAAATAAAACAGAAAGAAATTAATACTGACATCCAAGTTACTATTCTTTTCAAGAATCTATTGACTATTATATAATAAATATTTAAATTAATAAGAAATATATATAATAAATAAATTATAAAGATATATACATTTTTTTATAATTTAGAAAATTATAATAAATGTAAATATTCCTATGGCTATGAAATAAAAGTATTTATTTAAAAAACTATATAAATTTATTATTGATAATTATTTATTTTATTTATTTTTATAAAATGCAAAAATTCTTTTAAAAACATCACTATTGTAGCTCTTAAGACAAGGCTGTCCATTTTCATATTTTGCTTCATCGTACAATTTTATTAATGGTTCTGACCACCAAAAATTTCTGATTTCTTCATTGCCATCAATATCTAAAGTATTAAGTTGGTAGACAGAAAAATGAAAATTTTGTCCATCTGATTGAACACATTGTACAACAATAGGTTCAGGTAATTTCTTCACACACAATCCAAATCTTTGTCGTGCACAAGTTACTGCTACAATAAATGATTTCATCATAGAACGTGCATAAATTTGATTTTCTGTAACTGGCAATTCAGTTAAATTTTTAACTTCCTCTGGATCGTTATTTACGAAGATAGTGTGAGCATTTATAAATGGTGATTCTATAGTAACTGCTGTAATATCAATGTACATGTTTAAATTTTTTACTTATAATTTACAAACATTGTATTACATTTCAACTTACGATATAAATCCTGTTCTGTGCTGGAAATTTTTGATTTGGTTAAACCAATTGTATAATGTAGCGGATATAAATCAGGCATTTCGAATTCATTATCCGTATTTACATCTGCTATTGGTGTCAAAGGTACTGAAGATGTCATCATTATATCTATTTTTGAGGATAGCTGTATAAGGTTGTCTCCTCTTCCTAAAATATACACAATATCAAAAAAAAAAGATTGCTTTGATAATTTTTAATATATACTATATATACAAAATCTTCCTATTTAATTTATATAAGTAAGAAATACTAAAATAATTGATATTAGAGTTATGAATGATGACAAATTTTTGTTCTATTTAATACTATTAACATTTAAAAATGTTTTCTTTAAGGAACAAACAACATATAACATTTTTTCAATATCACAATTATTATCTTTATGTATAGTTTTATAATTCTATTAAAAATAAAAATTGAAGAAATGAATAGATATTTTGTACTAAACGTTTTGTTTTAATTTCATTATCTTGCACAATAATTAAAGCAAAAATATTCCAAATTCTATATAGGTTTAATTTTTATATATGGAATGCTCTATATGTATGGTGCTCTATATATATTTCATATATAGAGCACATATAACAAAGAATTTGATTTATTTCATAATTCTTTTTCCTTAATAATATACCTATACATGTAGACAAAAGTCCATTATGCACTACAGATCTGCATTGTGCATCATTTAATCCACATAATGATTCACAAAGTTGCAAAAACTTTTTTGATAAGTTATGCCTACAACATATACGCCACTTTAGAATTAAAATTAAAAATTATAAGAATATAAAGTCAATTGAATGATTGATACTTACATTTTCCTTGTAGTACATATACCATATAATCTTGGAAAATTCCAAGCAGGTCGATTAGGATCTTTTAAACGCGGTAATTTTACTTGTTGTGCATCATATATTACAGATGTATAAACAATTCTAAACAATCAAAATGGTTTTTAGAATGATTTAAAATGATTATCTATATACATTACACAAAATAGCTCAAATGAAATTATAAGAAACATGATTATATTTTTATTAATATACCTTTCTAATAAATTGTTTATATTATCTGGAATGACTGTAATTAAATCTTGTATTTTCTTCGGCAGTTCATTATCAACTATTAATGTATTTGTTAATAAACATGCTTGTGGTATACCTTCTTGCAAAACATTATGATTTTCAAATACTAAACAATTCTTACTCATACAATCAGGATCTGTTTCATTAGATGTATTTAAATGTTCAATTCTAATGGAAAAAAAGATAAATATACATATAATAAAACTTTATAATTACAAACTAACAAATTGTTAGTTAATAATAACTGAATATATCATTTAAGTGAAAAAATTAATAATATATATGTCATTTTTTGCCATAATTCTTTAATGCATATGTAAAGGAATGAAATAACCTAATAGAATATATATTTCATTTTATTAAATATCAAAAAATAATCAATAACAATATACCCAGAACATATTTTAAGAGCAGCTTGTAAACTTATAATATACATAAGTATACTTTATCTTATTTTAAGCTTCTATTCTATTCTGGATTAAAATATATTATTGCTCATAAAAATATCATAATAATAATATACATATAATAAAAAATAGTTGGTTAAGCTTTATTTAGAAAAAGCATGTTATTTTCATTGTTATGTTCTTTCAAAACTTTGAATTGTCTCTACTTACAAAAAGAAATGAATATATCATATAATATTTTACTTAAAGAAGTATTTGTATATAGTATATATTTTTATAACTTGAAAACTATTTAAAATATACAAATTGAATAGATTATACTTTGTTATTAAAAAACTATAAGTAGATAAGAAACAAATATTTAGTTTCCATAAATATTTCTAAAAATAAAATTATTGAATATTTTATCAAATTATGAATACATATAAAAATGTTTTTAATTTTTTCCTTATTAATTAAGAAAAATAATCCTTTCTAGAAGTTTTATAAAATAAAAAAAATATATATATAAAAATAGTAAATATAGAAATAATAAAAGGTAAACATTAAACCTTTCATTACCAAGTTATTTAAAAGATATATAAATTCGTGTCATTTTTTTGTCTATTGATTGAGTTGATACATACACTTTTGCATTTAGATATGTTTAAATTATTTTATATATGTGTATATTACAAATATAAGCATAAATATACAAGCATTCTATAGCTACTTTTTAATGGCTATAATATTCTATCTCATAATTTTATATGTCTAATTGTACAATTAGTATTGGAATGAAAGGCTTAGAATAATACATTAAATAAAATAAGAAGTATTACATTTCAAAATTACTTAAATGACTTTTGCTTTGTTCTGACACAAATTGTGTGGCATCAACTACTGGAACATTCATGGATTTTAAAATTTCTTCCGCCTTAGACAATACTATATTTCTTTCTCGTTGATGTTGCCATAGGTATCTTATTGCTTTACCTATATGTTGTTTATATAATAACTGTGTGAATTTCATTATGATTTATCTAAAAGATTTTTATATAAATAATTAGTAAGCGTAATATTTTTCATAAGTTACATTTTATACCTTTGTTTTATGTTAATCGTGTTATCTTACGGTACTGCTAATGTTAGGTTAAATAACACTGTTATCCTTTAAGAATTAAAAGTATTTAGTATTTATACTACAATCTTATATCATTATCAAAACTTTTCATTTAAAACGTTTTATTTCCCTAGTTTGCATCAATAATATTTTAACAATTGTTAAATACGTTAGTTTTTGTAAATTTGAGTGTAATTAATATAACATAGTACACGGTATAAATCTATGTAGAAATTATATGTGAAAATCATATTTCTAATGTATTATAATACTATATATTACAAATATCATAAAATTAGACGTGGGCATAGTATTATCGAAATTATTGAAATGTGTAATCAGAAATTCAAATATAATGCAAATATCAACAATGAGTATTATGTGATTTTGTATGGTTATAAGAATGCATGCAAATAAAATTCTTCCCCCAAAAAAATTAAAAATAAGAACTAATATGTACTTTAATTTTAAACTGAATTTATATTTTATTATAATATTTTGAAAAAAATATTACTTATATCTATTTTATATAAAATAGGTTTTATAAAAAAACTAAAAAATTGATATGTTAATTTTCATTTAAATTGTTGATAAATCAACATTTTATTCTAAATTGTATAGTTTATATATTTTTGAGAAGAAAATTGAATTTTACAATATTGCAAATTTTTCCATTTTAGTCTGAACGTAAATTAAATTCGGAAATAATTGCAATAATATAATTGAGCTGTACAATTAAAATTTTCATAAACTTTTAAATATTAAACATTATTGTTATAAATAAAGTAAATTTATGAATATATATATTCATGTTGTTGGTTTAAATTTCCCTCTGGAATACATATCGTATTTTATAATTTAATTATATCGATTATAACTTAATTATTTTATATTCATAGGACTATAAGGAATTGAAAATATCATAGTATAATTCAATTCTACGGAAAAAATGAATATTCCGATATTGCAAAAAATAAATTATTAGTATGGTTATCTTAGTATGTTTCATACGTCTTAAAATTTTTCGATTTTTCTGTAGTATTATAATTTTTATTGTTAACTAGATTTCCTTTTTGACAACACTGAAAGTATAATTAAAACATTGAATGTTATATATTATTTCATTATTTTAACAGAAAATTGTATTCATTTTACTTTTATTTTGATAATAATTTTAATGACTTAATAAGAAGCTAATATATAGTAATAACTTTTTAATTATATGTATTTTCAGTTTTGTTGAAACATTATTTCACTTCATAAAAAGAAAATTCTTTAATTGTATAAAAAGTGTTATAATTTTATTATTATATAATTATATACTATTTTTTAATAAATTTATATTCTAAATTATTAAATACTAGGGAATTCGAAATAGAGATTTAAAGTAGTTTGTATTTTCTGTGTGATAAGTACATAACATATGCGCGCGCATATACATTCTATACTTTTATACCTAGTGATTTGCATATTATAAAAGGTTCCTACCTTTGATGTATGAAAGGATGGTGACCTACTGATAACGAAGTTCTGTGATAAAAATTGTGAGTGTTAAAGAACATTTTCCATTACATAAACATTAGTAGCCTTAAAAGCAGGCAATGCATTGGAGTTGGATACATTTACAACGATTCCTGATAAATACATCTGTATGTATCATAATTATTTAAGTATTTTGGTACTCGATTATTTAGAAAGGATACCAATAGCAATAATGTTTTTAATACGTGAAAGCTACTAGGATTTTTTAAACCGTATTGTATTGTATTGTTTTATGCGGTAATGTGCGTATTTGTTGCTAAGTATATAATATATTTTCATAATGTATTGTTTTGTGTTTATTGTACAAAATGTCTAAAATAACTTCTTATTTCGATAACTTATACAATGATGTAATATTAACTTCTCAATTTGGCTTAAGTACATCTTTTATTATAATATAACAATTATAATAACAATTGTTTATCAAAATGTCTTCTAATCTTATCTTACATTATTTTTATATTTTTTATTTATACATATATAATAAAATTGTTAATATTTAATCCTATTCATTAAGGTTGTAAAATATTCTAGGTAAAACTTACATGCAAATAGTAAAAAAATTATGATTTCTCAAAAATTATCATATTAAATTATACTAAATTGTGTACAATGTCTCATTGTGAAGAAGAAGTGGCATCATCTGGTTTTCACCAATTAAGTATTACAAGTAAGTTTTGATTTATATATGAAATCAAATATAAATTTACATATATAAATTTTATATTATTGTTTATTATCATGAATTTGATGTATTTTAAATATTGTGGTATCTATATATATCATATCTATCTATATATACATGTATATGTATATATAAATTTAATAAATATTTAAAAGTATTTTTTAATAATTAGGCTTTATAAATCAATAATTCTTACATTTTAAAAAATATTAGATAATTTTATTTTTATGATATATATAATTATTAGTATTACTTAGCATATTAAAATATGACCAACCGATTAAAATTATTTGAAGAATAAATAAATAACATTATTTTTAGTTTAATAATATCTTAGATAATAAAATTTCGTTATTTTAGTTGAAGGTGCTATATTGAGAAGCTCTACATTTCTAAAGCCTAACCCTTACATAGAATTTTCTGTTGATGATAAAAGTCCTCGGAAAACAGAAGTTTCAAAATCGACATATCAACCAAAATGGAACGAGGAATTTACAATACTTGTAACTCCATATTCACAATTACATTTTCGGTTGTTAGATCACAGTACATTCCGAAAAGATACTTTAATTGGAGAAAAAAAAATAAGTCTTTTTCAAGTATTATCCCATTATAATGGAAAATTAGAGAATATGGAAGTGACATTTGATTTAATGAGTGAAAATAAACATGATTCTCAGTTATGTAAAGTGGGAGAATTAATTACAGTATTTGATGGACTAAGAATTAATCTGCCAAATACATCATCATTAGGTATTAATGAATCACCTTCGTGTCAAACACAATCAGTCTGTATGCCATTTGATGGTAAGAAATTCAAATTAAGTATATAATAATTTTAAATAATAAAACAGTAAAGTAATTTATAATTAATGATCAATGAAATAGAAATTTGTTTAAATCTTGAAAAAAAAAATATCAGAATACTATATATAAAAAGATAGTTCAAGTATTGGCAGTTCTTTTCAAGATTACTTCAAAAGTTTTAAATATCTTTAAAAAAAAACTATTTTAGTTTTATAATTTGTGGAACTACTATTTTTCATCAGCTATGGTATAGATTTGAAATATTGTATATTTCAAATGTACATTATATCGAAAATTATTAATAACAGTGATATTATATTTGGTTGTTGGTTTTGTTTTATTTCTATATATAATGTTAAAAAAGTAAAATTCATTACCAGTTTTTGTTATTTATAAAATACTATAAAAAATGCAAGATTTTCTATGATAATCATTGGATATAAAAGTATTTTATAACTTAAATCACTAAATAAAAATAGATCTATTATCATTAACACCTCAAAGGAATATTTTTGTAAACAACTTTTTTAATTATAGAAAAAATGAGTTTTTATTTGAGTTTATTTTTTTAAGTTTGCAAACTTGTAAGTACTTTTAGAAATAATTTTTTTGTCATTGTAGAAATGGCATACAATTAAATAAATTAAATGGTATGATATAAAAAAATTTATCAATGTGTATTACTTACAAAAATATTCATCAAATCATTTCTTAATATCAAATAATCGAATAATCAAATCATTAGACGTAAAAACTGTAATTAAAAATTGGTTTGGTGTTCTGTACTCTCTTATTCTTTTGCTTTATTTTCATATTCTCTTGAATAACTTTTATAGTTTTACAAATTCCTTTTTAAATATTTGTTACTTATTAATATTGATTATTTTTATTTTATTTCTTAAATGCTAATATCCATTATAAGGTATTATTAAAAAAAAAAAAAAAAAACTGTAATTTAATAACATAAAATATAACAAAATACATATATGCATAGGTAAATTTACATAAACAAAGACAGAAGCAGATGTAGAAAGAGAGAGAACACATAAAATTGGTTTTAAAAGTTCCAAACCATGTTCACTTACCATAAAAATATATTTATTGTGGGGTGTCTCTTTCAATGCAAATGAATTTTGATCTAATACTTTTTTTTAGTACTTATTACTTTACAGAAAAAATTAAAATGCACTATTCTATATAAAGATAAAATCAGTTATTACATAAAATAACAGTAATAGCTGTATGCTGCTATTATCCTACATACATATAAAAAATAAAGACAATAGATAATGAGAACATTTTATATAACTAGTTTATAAAAATACTTGGTTAACTGTTACTTGAGTAACTGTTGGAAAACAAATTTGTTTTATATTAACAAAAATAAATCTTCCAGAAATCAATTATGTAACTGTTTAATTTGTTTAACAATGTTAAGTTTCTTGCTATGAAATAAAATAACATCTAAAAAGAAAAATAAATTAAAAGAATTACAGAAAATAATTACAATTTCACACATAGGATTTGAATTGTATAAAATTTGATTAATTATATTGTTATAATTAATTATATATATTACAATATATAATTAATTATATATTATTATATTACATATCATTTTGGAATAAGAATTGTTATTAAATTTAATAAAACATTTATTTTATAACTTAGAAACAATTAAGTACAAGGTAGTGCATATAAAATATTATATGTTGTTTTCTCAGAAACTATTAGAGATACTTGTAAAATTTTCTTTTAACATTTAATGGTATAAAATTTAAACTATAAAAATCATTTAATGTCAAAAGAAAATTTTGTAACTATTTTTAAGCATTTTTATAAAAACAGTTTGTAATATTTTATGTGCATTGTCTTGTATTTTATTATTCATATCTATATACAAGTCATGAAATAAAATTTTTATTTTGTCAAATTTAATTATAGCTTTTATGTCAGTCTTTAGTCTATAAGAAATTATTGAAAATTAAACTTGAAATGCTTTTGAAATAATTTATATTAGCGAAAGTTTTTAAATATG